TCTCTCTCTCTCGCTCGCTCGCTCCCTGTCTCTCTCAAACCCACACTGCGCTCTCTTTCTCTCTCTCTAGGCCTACAAACACAACCACAGGCCTACCCCCCTTTCACTTCTTCCCCTCTCCCTCCACCCGCACCCCAATACTACCAATATTACTGTTTACTCCCCCCCCTCCCATACACACGCGCATACACGAACGCATGCACTCACCCACCAACCCATACTACAAACACTAACACTTGTATACGCACGTACACACGCGCACACACACACACACACATGCGCGCGCACGCGTGCGCGTGTGCAAGCACACAGTACACAGCACGCATGCACACACGCTTGCACTTACACAGTACACGCATACACACACGTGCGAGTGCGCGCGTACACCAAACACAACATGACACATTGGCTCGATCCTAGACGGTCAGAGAACGTATATGGCTCGATCCTATCTTTTTATTTCTGCATGTCTCATTATTAATTTTCTGGACTATGATTTTCTAATGCATTGCAAAGAAATGGTTCATCTGCAAATAGTCAATTGTTTATAAGTGCTGTCCTGTCACTTTTGAGAGACGTGTACGTGCACGAGAAATTGGGTACACATGCATGTCGCTTGTCACGTAAGAGTTGAGTAAGCCAAATCTGCTTCCCTGGAAACAGCAAACATTATCAGCTGAGGTGGTTCCTTTTAAAACTAGAAGTTCAGCTGTAGCAGAACAAATAAAGTTAGTTTATATAAAAATATTTGTAACAAGTAAAACAAGAGGTACAAAAACAATGCAATTTCAAAATGTATTTCAAGAAACGCTATCATATTTACATAATTATTTTTCTTCGATTTAAAGTAAAATGGGGAGAAGCAGAAAATACTCCCGCTAGTTGTATTTTTAGCCAAGTTATATTTTTTATTAAAAAGTGGAATTCACCAGCCTTCACCTGTAATGACCTCCCGGATTTTACACACATGTCTGGTTCAATGACGCACCAAAGAGAAAAAGTGACAATTACACGTTTTATTCTACAAGCCTATGTTTTCATAACCAAATAAATAAAGTGCAAACTTAATAATGATTTTTTATACAGTGAGTGTGTAAACAAAAATGCTCGTTTTAATATCCAGACAACAATGCAATGTTTTGTTGTCTATTTTATGAACTGCTGACGTCTCATAAAGTCATAATAGATCTTACCATGAGTTACATTATAATAAGGTGTGAAAAAAAGTCTGAAATCCTTTGTCAAACTGATGGAAAGCCGTAAAGTATACGGGCTTCGGGAATACAATACATTTGTCGGAGGTGGGATGTGATGTAAAACGGAACAAATACACATTTTTTGCTTTTATTGCATAGTATCGATTTTATAGTAATAACCCGTACGACGTATTGTTTCACGAAAGTATACACAATCTGGATACACATTTTCATTACGAAAGTAGACAGATCACAGACAGGGGTTTGTTGTGGTTACCGGTCAGGACATGCGGGCAAGATCTAGGCATGTTATAAAACACTCAGCTTGCTGTTTGAGTATTTTCCATTCCTCCAGTTAGTATTGATAGTGCCTGTGAAAGCCTCTACGTGATAATTACAGACTGTGGCTTTCTCTGTGCCTCAAGATGGGCAAAGGAACAAAAGCAGTAAATGGAACCGCCCCTCACAAAAGAGAAGTAACATTTGATGAACTGAGCAAGCACAACAAACGTGATGACCAGTGGCTTCTCATCAACGGAAAAGCCTATGATGTCACCGAGTTTGCAAAAAAACATCCCGGGGGAGCTAAAATCCTTAACCATTATGCAGGAGAAGATGCAACTGTAAGTCAGTACTAAATCTAGATCTAGACTCTAGACTAGTGATCGAGTGGCTGTAGATCTAGAATCTAATCTGCATCTAGATTCTAGATCTAGATCTAGATCTAGATTAGATAACCGTAATATTAAAATGCACTAATAAATATAGATCTATACTTAGTGCATTTTAATATTATGGTTATTAAATTATATATACTTGTGTATGTGTCACTAGGATGCTCAATGGAATCAGATGCCTATCAATTATTGAGTTTCGAAGTGGCTAGCCGTACTTAGATCTAGATCTAGGTTTGGCCCTATCGACTCGAACCTTGAGTACACAGATCTCATTAGATCTAGATCTAGAAGTTATTCAGGTTTGAATAATGCAAGTCAGTAAGGCACCCTTTTGGTTTTTGTCTGAAATACAAACTTTAGGCTTTGCAAACTAAAAATTTCATTTACAATTCAGCCTTAAAGTACGGCTAGCCTAGAAGTCTAGCCATACTTAAGTTCGTACTCATCTTAGGCCCTATTAACATTAGAAAACAGGAGGTTTAAAATACATGCACTGTCATTAAGTGCTTTCGTCTCAAAGACAAAAAGACAAATACTTTAGGTACTGCAAACTAAAAATGTATTTACAATTCAGTAGGCCTTTTTTTAAGGTCAGTCTAGCCATCATATTAAGAATAAGTATGGCTAGCCCAGCTGTCTAGCCGTACTTAAGTACGGCTAGACAAACAGTCTAGCCATCATTAAGTACGGCTAGCCTCTTCCTTTTAGTTTTTA